CGAAAGTGCCCTTTGCCCACCTTGCGATTTTACTAGTCCTTTGCTGTGGCGATACAAAACTGATGGGTGTATATTGTGTTTGATAGCTACAGTTTTTATCGAATCATTACCCATTAAATAATCTTCTACCGCTTGCTTAAGAACATTTTCGTCATACCTTTTATAGCGCTTGCCTCCAGGTTCAGGTTTATAAATGCGCGGCATTGTCCAAAATAATCTGAACAAACAAAATAAACATTTATTTTCAATACGAATGAAAATATAAACATTAACTAACTATTTCATAAAACTACAGTCACTAGGTACCTACAATCTTCCATAAGTACAAAAAAGTATCAGGTATAATTTTGTGTAGCAGCCCTAGCAATGACAATTCTAATCACCCCAGTCGTATTGCTACTCACCCCTCGTGCACTTCTATTCAGACTTTACGCGCTTCTATTTACCCCATACCTCGATTCTATCCACCCCTCAGGCGTCTTCTATTCACCCCAAACTTATTCAATTTATAGGTAGCATAACTTTTGGACTTATTTAGAACAGAAATCATGCTCAATTTGACTTACCTTTGAGTTTTCTTAATAGTTAAGTAACTAACACTTTGCATAAATTCGTATTGATGTCTGAATTCAATCGTAGTAACGAACAGAAATAAAAGTTTTACGCTTCTCAAATTCACAACCGTTACTTGATCACTTTGAGACATTATTTTTCGCATTTATGAACAACTTCACTATCATGACGATGTTGCCTATATAACACAATCAATGTTGCCGTATATAAAAAAATCAAATGTAGCTAATTTCATTGAGCACTGTGAGAGCAATAATGCAACGAACTAAGTTTCGCTTTTTGTTCTATTCCCCCCTTAAATTCTATTCACCCCATTTTACGGTATCAATGGAAACAGGAAATTGGTACATATCTTCTTCCAGAAGACTTGGTACTGACAAGATACTAATAACATCTTCATAATTTACGTAGCTGATATCCCACTTGTCTAGTCTGAACTTCTTCGCATCATTACCAACTACCCGTAAAAACATAACTTTAATTTCACCGTCTTCTTCTATAGAGGACAAAGCCTTGCAAACGTAAGAATAAATATTCTTCTTTTTATTACTGCCATAAACATAAACATGTAAAAAATCACCAATTGATACCTGTCGAGGAATTTTGTCGTAACTAGTGGAAGCTACTTGGTCCCTTTGAAAACTAAATTTATCATCTATAGTCATCGATTTACGATTTTCCTTATCAATTTGTGACTCGTCTTCATCACTATCGGATGAAGATCCATAGACAGCTCGGTAAATACTTCGTTGGGATGGTATATTTTGGATTTGTTTGAGCACTGCAAGAGGAACGTCTTCATCAGACGGATCTTGAAGATCGTGTCTTTCTGGTTCAAGGATTTGCTTAGCAGAGTTAACATTTGCAGTATTACAATTCACTTGGTACGTTTTGGGGTTCAGGCAGTTGCAAAAACCTCTCTTTATAAATTTACAAAAGCAGGAAAGCTCTCTATATTTTAAGGTATTTCTTTTATCTGTAAATACTTGATGAACCTGCAATGTTCCAATCAGACGTGGGATATTTTTCGGCAGGTCATCTTGCAATTTCTTGATAGCCTCCTCTTTTATCAAAAACATCTTGATTTTACTGGTGTTTTCAAGTTGCTTGAAAAACGCATATGCATTCGGAATATCTGCGCCTGTAGCCACCAACTTATCAGCTTTACGCTTTAAAAACCCTCCAATTCCATCTGCAGGGCCTTTACCGTGGCCGGCTTCATAGAAAGACCAAGTAGCTGCAGTAAACCCATAATCAAAATATTTTGTGCAAAGCAGATAGAAGTTTTGCTTTTGGCGATATTGAGTCGATGGTCCGTCTGAGAAGAAATGAATAGTATCAACAGCTTCATGTCAATTTCTTATCCATTCTAAAATCGGCTGTAAGTGGCTCCAGATGGCGGCAGGCTGATGACAATTTGAGGCAGAAACAGAGCAGAAGGAATTAGCTGCATGTTGTTTTTCGTGGTTGTGAGTGTAAACCATTACAGTATGTAGTGTTATTTGGTTTCTAGACCCTCCGAAATGATGAGATTGTACCTCTTCGTGATATTTACAATTATAATTTTCACTAAAGTCGACTACAATAGCGCACTCATTGGGTTGCAGATTACTCAAACACTCGCGAAAGTTGTGAAATTGGATTTTGATATTGTATATATGCTTTTTAAAAGAAATAATATCCTTCTCAAATTTTTGCCTTAGATGTGCAACTTCTTCAATTTTTTCCTCTTTTACATTCTTGATAGCTTTTATTATTTTTTCGTTTTTCTCGAATTTGACTTCTTTCCTCACCCATTCACTGTATTTTACAGTGCCATCAAATTTTTTTTGATCGTAGTCTATCTTCTGGTTCTTACATTTTTCACACTCATTGTACATACAATCCTTTAACCGATCGCTGCATACTGTCTTTCGTATAATGACATTCAAATCACTTGTTTTCAGTAGACCTTGTTTTGTCAACGCCTGAGCCATAGACGACATGTTTGCGTGCCTTTTACACATACATGTTTCCCTAGCATCAATGGAAGGAGCAATGACATAAAATGGTCGATGCTTCGTGAAATAATAATATGAGCACGGTGGGTTTGGATTTTCTTTCTTAAATTCTATGTGAAGTTTTTTCATTGTATCCAGTAAGTATCTTCTCTGCATTTTATTTCCGTTTCTTGTCACTGTTTCTTTTTTTCCAGCTGTAGCTCTAGACACATCGTCGCGCACGAAAAATTGGCGAATTTTTTTCCGTAGCAGTAGTATGCTACGATTGGTCTTTGCTTTTTTATGATACTCTCTGTGTATTCCGAGTGTTTCTTTAAGTAATTCTGCTTTCTTTTTAGATGTTTCAATAAGGCCAGTCTTGAAAATGCTTTTAAGCAGTCTTTTCTCGCTGAGACTTCTTATCGTCTTGTACCTATCTTTTATAGACTTCGTCAAAAGATTATAACTTTGGTTGTCTCCTGGTTTCTCGTTAGTGTTTAATTCTTTTTGTTTACTTCTCATTAGTTTTTTCTTATACTTTTCACACAATCTCTTTAATTTTTTATTTTCCTCCTTCAATTTTTTGTTTGCTCTATATACTTTGGATTTATATTTCTTCACTATTTTTCGTCCTCGCCCCCTAGATGCATTTGAAACCGGTGATGCAGGTGGTGTTTGATGGACTTCTTGAATATCTTGTACTCTAGGTAATGGAGAACTTGGCGGCGTCACATCTATAATACTTTGTAAATTCTTTCTTCTTTTCCTGTATTCCCTTTGTCTTAGTTTCCAAATCAAATTGGCTTGTTTCCTTTCTTTCGGTAACAAATCTTTTGCTAATCTTTTTATTTTGTGGTAGTACTCTCTATGTTTTATTTTGCTTTCTTCATATTTTTCAGGGTTTTGTTTCAGCCTTTCTCGATAACGCTTCTGTTTTTCTGCTGCTGTTAAACGTGCCATTGCATATCTACGGAAGGTAGAAATACAATTTTTAAGTTTCAGTTTATAAGAAATTATTCAATGCAATATAAGAAATAAAAGATGCAAATTAATAAGAACTAGCTTCTGCTATCGATTTTTTACCGAAATAAAAGTATCTTATATCGTTATCTAGGTCACAGTATACCGTGAGTGGAATTTCATCCAAATTTGTCAGTAGTTTTTGAGTTAATAGGTTGTTACCAACAAACACTCACTTTCGCATTTATACTTAACATTTAAGTGAGGATAATAGTCATTGAAAACAATGTGCTAGTGAAATAGGAGAAGTATATATTGAAAATGAAATAATAATACACGAATTATTTATAAAAATATGTATTGATTTTTAGTTTGACGCCACAACGTGTTTCACAGCCCGCGAATGTCTCTGAAGTTACCAACAATGTCTATGGAGTTACCTTCAAAGTAACTCAGTATTCCGGTAACTGAGGAGACAATTCAAGTACTTTGATCAAAATACATATTATTATAACTATAAAAAAAATAAGTAACATATGATTTGGTCGATAACCACAGTTAGTACTATGTAATATTATTATTAAAAAGTTACTACATACATTTTACGAGAAAATCTGGTAACTCAGTTGACGGCGCAAAAAGGTACGGACACTCCCTGCGAGCGTTCGAGGCAGACTGACTGACTTGTCGGCATTCATCAAAGTTTTGCCCGCCGTTGTTACACGATACGACCTTAATAAAGTTAGCAACGGCAAGACATACCATCTAGGCGTTCTTTTAACGCAATTTTTTTAGGTAACTCAGCATACACGTGCAAAAGGAATTTATTGAGGGACAGTCCTAAATGTTTTTTTTGTTCAAACATTTTATGTTTATTTAATATCAGTGATTAATCATGATAAAGTTTATTGTTTTGTCTCTTTGTAAAATTAATTTCAAGATAGGGTTTTATAGAAAAAAATAATTTCATCTGGAATTCACATGAGAGACTATGGTCTCGGGACAAGGATTTTTTGTATGGGAGCTCTTTTTGATATACTAAGTTACCCTAAAAATCAAAATAAATTGTTAATTTTCAGCACCTTTAGCATTTTTCTGATGATGCCTGATTATTTGTTATGTGTTTAGAATACCATTTACCTATAAAAAACTTTTGAATAAGTCATTAAGTAAAAATGACTGCTAGGGACACCAAAGTGTGGGTAAAAAAGTTGATCCGCCCATATATATATATATATATATTACGAATATGGCCATACTTACAAAGCCTGAAAATAAATCTTATACAGTTATTGAAAAGGCGTTCCAGCTTGTTCAGAAGATCTTGGGACAGATTCGGGACAGATCTTGAAACAGAATATTATGAGACCTTACTGAGACTGGTTATTACTAATTATCAGTACAGTTTGGTTTAAATGTGTTTACTTAATCTAATTTGTCAATTGCTGTTATTGAATAATTTTAAAGACGAAGCTTTTATTGTTTTAGGTGACTTCTTCAACGACGATTTGTCATGCTTGTTGGGTTCAAGCTGACAGGGTATCCACATCTACTGAAGTTATTTAAGAGAGCAATCCAGAAGTCAATCGTGGGAATTCGTTAGAAATACTTATTATATCATCCAGCCAATAAACGGCTGACTACAGTGAAGATTTTATAGAGTTAACGAAAAAAGATCCCGACTCATTTGTCAGATTTTAATAATATACAAGACATAGAAGACCATTTGGTTAATTATTGGTTGGGTATTTCTAAACAAGAATTTATAGTGTTGTTAAATCAAGTAATGAGATTAAATAAAATGCAAAAAGGAGCAGTTGCCTTTGCTGTTTACCTATTAAAAATGAGAATTGGGGATTCAAATAGGAGAACATCGTCTTTAACCAAAATTCCTGTACGCACATTGCAGTCCCTTATAAAAACAGCAATAGATAACTAGAGAAGAAATTGCAGAGAGAAATCTTGTGATACCAAATGGTCTCTTTGCAAATTTTTGTTGGCACATATGTTTATGTTCAAAAAAGTTGTAATAATTTATATCAAAAACGAACATAGTCATTACACAAGTACCGCAATTTGATAAAAATGTTCTTGATTGTGTCAACAGATGGTCATATTATTGATGTTTTAGGCCCCTATTCAGCAACAACTCCTGACATTATGAAGACTGAATTAAGAGAAAGTAAGCCCTTAAGATGGTTCTATAATAGAGGTGATGTATTTATTGTGTATAGGGGCTTTAGACATTGAATCCCTTTATTAAATGAAGCAGGCTGCGAAGCTCAAAATCCTGCATCTGTATGAGAAGGTGAATTTCAGCTCACTAAATTAGAAGCGAATAAAAGTCGCGCTGTGACGATATGCAGATGGATAGTGGAGGTGGTGAACGGCCGCTTTAAACGCAACTTTAAAACCTTTAACTAAGATTTTTTTTAAATATAAAATATTTTATTTCAGTAAATCTTTTACAGTTCATTTGCCGAGGGCTCCCAGAAAGTAAATCATAAGATACTTGTGTTGGGAGTTCATAATACGAGGGCGACACTGAAAGTTTTTAAAACTGGTCAGTTGCAAAGGATATAATAAAAAAATAAGTTCAAATTTTGAAAATGGAATTCTTTGCCAATATTATTGTGTATGTATTTTTATTAATTTGTCATTTGTTTACGATTTGGCGGCAAATTGAAAATTGTCTGTGTCACGTCAGCATGAATTAAACGCGAGAAAATTTTAGTACAATGATTTTTTATTAGTTACGATGTCATTTAAGTCAACAAGAAAGTTATGATAGACTTTGATTGGCATTTCACGATGATGCCCCATTTCGTGGCACAGTTTACAACTGGTTTAATGAGTTTAAACCACTGGTCACTAATCTCACCGATGATCTGCGTGAGGGTCGGCCTTCTACGGCGAGGATTGAAGATAACATCAGTGTTGTGCGGCCTATGATAGAGACTGACAAAAGAGTGACTTATCAGCAGATTCGGACAAGCTTAGACATCGGTATGAGTCAAGTGCACAAAATCCTCCATGAACATTTAGCGGTGAGGAAGCTTTGTGCCCGGTGAATACCTCATAATTTGACAGAGGCTCAAAAACTCCGTTGTGTTGATTGGTGTCATGAAATGGTTCAAAAATTTAACGGAGGTGACTTAAATGCTGTGTTCGACATACTTACGGGTGAAGCAAGCTGGATTTATTGTTATGACCCTGAAACTAAGAGATAGTTTGCTGTCTGGGTGTTTCCTTCCGAGGAGTTGCCAATAAAAGTGAAGAGAGGTCGAAGCGTGGGATAAAATATGGTGGCCTCGTTCTTCGGAAGGACAGGTCATTACGCAACAATTATTTTAGAGGATCGAAAAACAGTTACTGCAGAGTGGTACACTAATTATTGTTTGCCACTTGTCTTTGAAAAAGTTCGGGAGAAACGACCCCGCAATAGGATCCTCCTTCACCACAACAGATTCTCGTCGTACACCACCAAGCAAACAATCTACTACTTGGCGACGTCAGACGTGAAATTACTGGGTCACCCGCCCTATAGCCCCGACCTCGCAACTTGCGATTTTTATTTATTTCGGAAAATAAAAGAATGCCTTCAAAAACATAACTTGTAAAAAAACCAAGTCTCGCAACTCAGTTCTTCTACCGTAAAAAGTAGTGAGATCCATGTAATACCAAGTCGGTTAATTTATTCAGTCCCTACTTAAGCGTCCTCCTGTCTTAAGTTATTACGTAATTAGCTAACCTAACAACATCATATAGTGACCATATCAATATTAAAAGTCTTTTATGTTTTAAATACATAGATTGACTTGGCCAACCTTCTTAGTCTCCTCTTTATACTCACTCATATATACCACACAGTCTTCATCATTTTTACAACATTCGGGACGTTGAAGAACCTTATGTTGAGGGCAAATCCATTTTTTACAGGTGTGACATTGTTTTCTGGTGGACTTATTGCGCGCTCTGCTACAAAATGAACATTTCCCAACGCGACCAGTCCAATACTGGTCGCGTTGGGAAATGTTCCTTTTTGTGGTGTTGGATTTGTGTTGGACATGATTGTAATTCAGGTGGCTCATTCATACCCAAAAGCGCTTTCCTTTAATTTTCATATGTATGTATGCATGGCGCGACAAGGCGAAAACCAACTTACATTCATTAGTTAAAAAAAAGATAGTAAGTGGCCATCGCCTGGAGTTTCTGGAGACGTCACAGTACCACGCATTTTGTCTACAATGTCCACGCCATATTTGGTATTGTAAAACTTTATTATTTCCGGCTTACGTTTCTTTGCTGTTTGTAAATTGATATGATCATCATAGTCCATAGTTGAGTACATAAGCACCACTTTATTTGCTTTTGGCATATAAGATACTAAAGTACCTTGTTTTTGTAAGTCAAAAATGGAATTGTTTTCGCTTCTGTTTATTGTGATTTTGAATTCTTCGGGAATTTGTGGCTTATTTTTCTTCACAGTGCTTACGACAGTAATTTTGCTATCCAAAAGCTCTAAGCATTGAGGTATATTCGTGAACCAATTGTCCATTATGACGTTACAACCTAAATCATCCAATGGGGTAAGCATTCGTTGCATAATGTCCACAGCTTTATTTGATTGTGCATAGTGACCATCTGGCTGAGCACCTGCGTTTATTTCCATGTGCTAGTTATAAGGTACCTTTATGTCCGTTAGTAAAAATATTTTTGTCCTATACTTTGTCGGTATATATTGTTTAAAAGAGAATCGTCCTCAAAAAGCAACAAGCTGTTCATCCAAATTCAAGAAATCACTCTGGACAAAATGATGTTGGCAGTTATTGACCAATTTCTCAAAAATATCTCGTACTGGATCTTGCTGTTTACGAATGGCTCTGTCCCTTACATCATCAAATCTAACTGTTCGAAGAAGAAATCTGAATCTATTTAGTGACTTGACGAGATATATCAATTCGGTACCTGTACCTCGCGTTGTGTCCTAGATATCTTACAAATTACGTCTTCCTAATTTTTGAACACCTATTACAAAAAGCATGCCAATAAAAGCTCTAATTTCCAAGACATCCGTAGCTTTAGCATCTCTCTCTCTCTCTTGAAAATTTTGTTTTCACTTGCTCTATGTAGATATTTGTAGAATTTGTTACGATTTATTTTATTTATGACTAAATCTAAAAGATTACATGGTTTTGTTTATATTGATTATAATCTAAAGTAATTTTAATTACTAACGTCCATTAAACATTATGAGAAAAAGTTTTTATAAATACTTATTGCTATATATCATCATAAAGATCCTTACAAGTGGGGGGTTTGTGGGAAAGATGCACTGATTACCGTGGCTAATCCTCGGGCCTCTGTGTCCTGCCTGAACACTCACCTCTTCCTGGTTTAGTTGAGACAAGAGCCACTCGGACCCAGTGTGGTATTTTTCCACAATGCGATGATGTCTTTGGGCCCAGACAGCATTATCAATGCCTCCTTTTTCCCCTTCCTGTGCATACTCAAGACTCCTTTTGAAGATTGCTGCCAAGGCGGGATGATTCTGAGGATTGTATTTGGTCAGGTATGCGTCATCGATGACTCTTGCCCATGGAACAGTTGGATCCTCCTCTCCTATTCTCTTGTATGTGGTCATGAAATTGAAAATTGATTTCCATGATATTGCAGTACACGTGAGGATCGTAAGCTGGTATACCTCTCTATCCACGTCTTGCTAAAGAACTCACAGATGTTGAATAACATCTGTAAAATTCCTAAACCATGCCAAGACGTGTCGGTGAGCACAGCAGCATCGAGTCGTGGCTTGATTGAGGCTTCTGTTGTTAGGCTCAAAATGACAATCTTTGCAAAAACACAGGACACTTGTTTGTTTGTTTTGTTTAAGTAAGTTACAGTTTTGGAAACTGCAGCATTACAGGGGGGAACAAATTTTTCACCAAGGTTGGGCCCTACGAATGTGATAACATTTGTATTGTATTGCTTCTTAAGGAAGCTTGTAGCCATTTGAGCTTTTGTTTTTATAGTTGCTCGAAGCATGGTTAAAACCACGAAATTTAGATGTCGGCTTAATTCTATCAACTCAAGAGACGGTGCATCTTTGGCTGATGACCGTTGTAGGATTTGATCACAGTGATTAACGAGTTCTGTGATAGACTGATCAAAGAATAATTCAAAACATTCTAATTTCGATGAGACATTTTTGGCAGTTCCTTTAGGCCCCGTGGGTTGGGTACGAATATTTTGTGTACGTGTGCGTGTCCTAAGATAAGGATGTTTCATCCACTTAGTGCCATTTTTTGCCGTGTAGTAATTGTTATTGAGATAATTTTGAGGTATATCGTTTTCCGATTCGAAATCCGAGCCTAAAGTTTGATTAGTACCTGGCTCGCTTCTTTCCATGGATGGTTCTATATCACTTCCGTTCTGTTCCGTGTCGGTATTATGTGGTGGTTCTAAACCACAGTCTTCATCACGTAGCTCCGCGTAAGTGTCATTTTCTATTATATCTTTATCATCAGCAGTAACTTCTTCCAAAAATCTCAAAATTTTGAATTTGTGCCTGCAAAAAAATGTAAAATGTATTTTTTAAAACGTTGTGTATTGGTAAGACTATTTGTGTAGCCTTATGAGCTTGATTTTAATCTCCTTAGAAGCATGAATCACAAATATGATTAGTTTTCTTCTTGTGAACATTTATTGTAGTAATACTTCTTACAACAAATGCATTTAACTAATTCAATTAGTTACATTGGAATGTTACAACCACTGCAAGTTATTTGACTTGTAACAACATAATTCAAAGATTTTTTGACAGTCTTTTTCGAGATCTCTACTGAATCCAAATTACAACCAAACATTCTGGAGGACTTGAACCCATACACGATTCTACCCGCACAAGGCTTCTTAGCCTGGTGCTATTCTGAGCTCACCAGATGGCTGGATCCCTCTCGTGAAGATCCTGAACTAAATCGTAGAGCTGCTAGAGTAGAGACGTATGCTGCAGCAAGGTCCATACTAAAGGATTTAGAAAGATCATCTTAATTTATAAACACGGTCACTGAGGAGGTTTCTCAAAATGTGAAGGATACACTTTTCTTTCGCCATTAGACGGGAGTTATCACAAGCCCTATCCATGCAATGCTTCGCCTAGAAATGGCACGGTTGTGGAAGACACTAGGCCACCCCATCATAGACATGGATGCCAGCACTGCCACTTGGTGCAGGAAGGGCACGGTGTGAAACCAGGTCTGCATCTCGCATCTGAGAACATCAACAACATGTTCAAAAAAGAGTTCTGCAGGCAACATTATAAAATTCATAAGAGATGGCCAAAGTTGACCATATCGTCAGAATTCAACCCACACATAACATTCTGTTTCCTTTCATATGAATGGGGAGACACGAGACGTCGTCACATAAATGGGATCCCGAAAATTTTAAGGCTGTCGCTCTTCTAAAGAACTTTGAGTCTAACTATCACATAGACGCGATATACATCATCTCAGATAAAGCTATTATTCCACGCCTGTCCGAGTGGATCCACGAATTTGATTATAAGGCTTTCCGCACTATTCATGGCCGATTCCCTTCTGGGCCCTTTCAAACTACGAAAAGCGTAGTGATTCATTATCTAACGGCCGAAATTTTTGATTGTAAGGGGATTACTGACTTAATAAACAAAGGTGTGGTCCTAGAGGATTGGCGGGTTATGGTGGTGGTCCTAAACGAAAGGAAGTTTAAAGACGTGGACGCCCGATGTTATGGCAAACTGACTCCCGAAATGAGGGCATTTCAAGATGTTACAGAGAAGAATATAGTTGAGACCCTGTTTCGCTACGTTAAGCATCATTCGATGACCTTGTCGGAGGAGCAATTGACAGAAACAGGATTTGTCTTGTCTCATCAGGTGCGGATTTTCTTTGCTCCAACTATGTAATTTGTGAAGATTTAAATAGCCATTTTTCTTGCAGGTTGTTTCATCCGACCATAGAACTTTATCTAAGAATTGGGGATCTTCCCTGTGCTTTTGCAGCATCATACGGCAAAATGCGACCCGTAGTGGATAGTCCCGCGGTAATAACGTCTGCACACGCCTGTAGTGGTATGGGTGAAGCCTGTAACGTTTAAGAATTCGATGCGCAGAACTTTTTGGGATTCCCGTAGCTAGTTCTATGGCACGTACCGAGGTAGTCGAATCGTTTTCTATTTCTTTGAGAACTTCTTCATCGCGTCCCAATCTAGGTCTTCCAGCGTTTCTCCTGGCAGATGGTAAACGACCCTCCGCAAACGCTTGATGCACATTAATAAATACTCGATAATCAGGGTATCTTTGAGCATTTGGGTACCTTTCTCGATACAATCTGCTAGCAGCGTTAGCATTGCATCGGCATTCTCCACAAATGAGATGCATATTAGCGTATTCCAACGGTGTGTACGGTAGCGGCATTATAAACGCTAAACAGTCCAAAATACGCCAATAGTCCAATTCACAAAACACACAATCACAGTCCAAAATAATGCCAGGTCAATTCAGTTTGCAGATCACCAGTCCAAAAAGCGAAGCCAAAAGTCGTT